GCCTGAGAAACCACGTACTGTGGAATACTGTTACGTCTCGAGGGGGCACGGCTTCCGGTATCGGCGCTATCCTGAGGCTATGGTGGGATGTTTAATTCACGATTTGGGCGATAAAATTTCCGCGATGGAATTTATCCAGCCCACTGATTGGCTACAGCCGAGCGCTAGATATCGCGATTATGGTTGGTTCCGTTTCGATCCACGGCCTTTCTCCCGTCCCTTCTAAATAAGCGATAAATCTGATTAATATCTCAGGGCAGTCAGGGCAGCTCGCGAAGGCATGCAAGGTAACGGTCAATACCGAGCATACGCTGCAAGACTCGAATCTTTCGACGAGCCCTAAATGAATATAGTGCCGTAAAACTCCCTGATAATTCTCTTTTTCATGCGCCAGCGCGGAAGTGTAGCATTCAGGGCATTTGATAGTGCGATTTTCCTTATGTTGGAAAAATAATGCGGAGACACAACACGCGCTATTCAACCACGTGGAGTACGGATGGACTGCGAGTAATTGAGCGTCTATCGAGGCGCGCGCTCGCGGGTTCACGGGACACTTGCTATACGCGGCTCACCGTCGACGAGTTCGATTGGCGGAAAATAAAGGGAATTACGTACCTGGTGATTTTTCGCGTTGGTGCTCCCTATGCGATTCCAAGAAGGGGGGTGGTTGAAGGAGAAAGCTTCTCTTCCTGGTCCAACGCATTGGTGGACCGTTGGTTTCGATCGACCCTCCGTTGATATCGATGATATTAAATGTGGGCGAGAGGGTGAGGTTGTCAGGAACCACGCACTCAATCAGATTGCTCAAATATGTATGTATTTAATATTAGTGATTACAGTATTTAATGGGTACAATTATTCCGCATCAGAACGGCTTTATCTTAAATTTAAAGTTAGAATTAGAATTGAGAATTGTGTATTTGATGCTAATGGTTATAATATTTAATGAGTACAATTAATTCCGCACTTGAACAGCTTTAACTTAAATTTAAAGTTAGAATTAGAATTGAGAATTGTGTATTTGATGCTAATGGTTATAATATTTAATGAGTACAATTAATTCCGCACTTGAACAACTTTAACTTAAATTTATAGTTAGAATTAGAATTGAGAATTGTGTTTCGCGCGAGACGTTTAGAGATAGGCACGGTGATTGGTCGGGCGAAATGGAGACGGACTTGGCGCGTGTCCGTTGTATATCGCTCGCGAGTACATTCTGCTATCTCTCTACGTTTTCTCCATGGGCGTCCCTAAGGCCCTCTTCCATTGACCGTGCCGTTGGTGGGTATGGGGAGAAGCGTCAGATACGTTCTTTAGCAATGCCCGCGTGTGCCACTCAAACTATTAGTAAGTCTGTTCGAAAAAGAAATTTTGAGGCTATTGCGGACGTTACACCTCCTCCTCCTAAAAATAAAACGTCGGACCATGTTCGACGTTTAATCGTTTGTGTGTGGCGGGTAGTTTCTTAATCTAATGTTTTTATTTAACGCAGGTATTACATCTATCGCAGTTACAGTTTATTCGAAGATAGGTTTTACTTATTATTTATTTAACAATGGTCGCTCACTCGTTTTCCTTGTTATTCAATAATGCATGGAGTTCTTTGTAACATACGTGTTTCTCATTCGCACTTTCGTCATGCACTGGTGCACTGGGGATGGAAGGTCGAGTTTCCGTCGTCGGATGGAAATTACAGGGAGCTTCAGCAGTGGTGAGAGGAAGAGCCTCGTGGTCCTGGTACTTCTCGGGAGTAGTTCTTCCGTCGGATCTTGCCAGGTGGAGTAGCAGATGCGTGATGGAGCTTCAAATAGCGCCGAGCAGATGTAGACTCCAACCGTAAACCGTATGGAGTGCATAACCATGGATTGTGGTGTCGATTATTAATTTTACTAGGCGTACGATGAGGAAAATGGCAAACACTCCGGCGCTAGCGGACCCGAAAGTTATAAATCCTTGCCATACTCGCTGCCCTGCGCTTTCTGCAATTTTCTCTAGTGACTTTTCATCCAATAGATTCATCATCGAGATGCTGCCGGCTGGGATCGTTCCTCCC